ATTGCCTTCATCTTTGAATAATTTCAGTCCCTTATTTAGGTAGTATTGTTGGATAAACAATACTCCTTCATTTTGAACTTTATCCTTGATTTGTTGCATGAATCGCGCAATCAGAGTTGCCTTATCTTTTCCATATTCGGTTTTCTTGTCACTTCCAACCTGTTGGAATAGTAGATAGTAATTTGACTATTTTTTCCAAATCCTTTTCCTTGAATTTTCCTTCATTGAAATTATTTCATTCAAATAACCTTTCAATTTCTTGACTTTTTCCTTTTTCTCATTGCACTCCTGTTCTTTAACAAATTGCACTTTGGTTTCTTTTGATTCAGGTATTGTTGATTATACCTTGGTCGATCTCAATTATTACGTTCGGTTGATCTCATTTTTATTCTGTCTCATTTTTATTCCGTCTTGAACATAAGATTTACCACTCCTGGTTTTCCTTGGACTGAATATGTCCTCTTTATTCACTTCATCATTTTCATAATTATTGTCGTCACTTAATTCGTCCGAATTATCGTCAGATTCATCATTTTCATTCTCATTATCATCCAAATTTGCCACAAATTCGCGAACATCATTGACACGATTTTCACATTCTTTTATTTCATCTTGAATTCGATCAATTAAATCGTCATTTTCCTCATATGTTTTGCAGGTTTCCTCGATTTGTTGTTCATTGTTAAGTGATTCGACATCTTCCTTGTCTTTTTGTATGTCTTCTTCAATTTCTTGAATCTTTTCATTTAAGTCTTCATCATTCTGATATTTTTCATTTGGATTGGGATCTTGATCGGAATTATCATCATCTTTTCTCCGTCTCAATTGTTCATAAATACTTGCAACACTCCTGTCTTCTGTCTGTTCTTCAACATTTTCGGTGTGCTCATTGTCATAGTTTTCAATAAGTTCTTCCGCTTCTTCAAGTAAAGCATCAACTTCATCTTGATCAATCTTTTCATTACGAAGATTCTCATCGCTTTGTTTGTATTTATTTTTGCGTGGAATATATGTATCATCCCACAGTTCATCTGGGTCCACTCCTGCGAGCAAATCACCATCCAATATGACTTCACCATTCTTCCAATGATAAGTATGTAAATCACAAATGCCCTCGTCGTGTGCCATTTGTTCCACAATTTTGATCACTTGCTTGGTGATCGGAAGTACCATTACATAGGGTCTCGTTACTGTCTTTTTTGTATTAAGATCAAGTAACATATGTCCCGCTTGTATGCTGTCATTCACTCCAAGATAAATACCATCAATTGTTCTTGATTGTTGACTGTTGTTGGTCGTGTGACCATATCCTCGTACAAAGGATCCAATTTCAGCAACACATTCTTTTGAAAAATCCACCGGTTTTTGTCTCACAATCATATGTGGACTGTAATATTTCGAAATTCCCTCCTTTGCAGGATAAAAGTTAATAACCTTTGTCACATGCTTGAGTAAAGCAATAGTCAAAACCTTGGGAATTGGCTTGAACACCATTCGATGATAGTGTGCTCGGAATAGTCCTTTCAATGTTTGATTGCTGCACTCAATAGTTGGTTTGTGTTTGCCAGGCGCGGCATAGTTCATGGTCACATCCATATTATCTTTCACGTCATTAAATACCGGTTTGAATTTGTTGTTGCAATAAATAGTTTTGATTCAAAATTCTGCATGATTATAACTGCCTAAAATTTTGCCAATTGACTTGTAAATAGCATCTTTTGTCCGATCTTTCAGTTCAGTACTGAATCGGAATTTGATCGCTTTGTCAATACTGACAAAAAACGCGACATTGTTGATAAACATAATGTCAATGCATAAATCCAGGTTCAAATTGTTTCAGTAGTTCCTTGGGCATTTCGATCCAATCATCAACCACCGCCTTTGGTGTTGGTTGTTTTTGTTTGCCCTTAATTGTTGAAACACTCGGTCCATATATCTTTTCAGAGATATTAACATCTTCCTCAGTAATTGGACAATTTTTGAACCCAAATTGCCAACTTGAATAGTTCTGCACCAGGTGCTCCCATCATATGATAGCCACTTTGTGCAACATTTGCTCGTTTCACTTGTTTGTTTGTGAAACCCTCTTTGTTCTTCTCCACACTCTGTAGAGCACAGTACCCTTGCATATCATTATTATCAAGTCCATGTGCATGGTCATGAAACATTGTTGTTGCCATAGCAGGTTTGTCAACCAAAGTATATAATCCATTGCAATGTCCAAATTGCCATGTAGTCCCGTTTCTGGTCACAAAGAAGCTGTTCTCTTTCTTTGTGTCCATAAATACATCAAATCCATCTTGTACCATATTTGACAAGCTGTTGACGTTGTCACTAGCTCGTGTGTCAAGCTTACAAACAGAATCGAATACCTTATCAATTCCTTCTTGATAAAGTTCTCTTCCCTCAACATTAGAGGCATAATGGAATCCTCCATGAATTCCTTGTAGACTTCCTTCTTTAAAGTCATCTTCATTGGTTTGCAAATGAAAAGTAGATCCACTATCCAAGTGGATACCAGTATTGTTGTGTTGAAATAACATCATCCCTTGTTGTCTTGGATGATTGTCAGTATGTCCTTGTTGAATAAATTGTCCTCCATGGGATCCATTGTTGGAACGTCCATAGTTCCATTGAGTATTTGAATCACCCGATTCATTATCATCACGCGTTGCATTTTCATCACGTTGCATATTTTGTCGATTACCACGACCATTCTCCGAATAATCCCTATATTTGTCCGGGTTTTTCCACTGTTCCCGCGGCTTCAATTTGTCCGCACATTGAGGTGCGACATGATCTTTTGATCCGCACACAAAACACGCTCGAGTTTGTTGTTGAGTAAACTGAGCTCCGTCATTTTGATTGTTGTTTGACTTGTTTTGTTTGCCTTGTCCATTCGAATTTCCTCCATTCGAATTCTTCTTCCTGTTATCGTGCTTGTGTTGATTCAAAACATCAGCAGCATTTTCCAAAGTAGTTGGAAATGTACAACGTTGTTTGAAATCCAGATGTTTCAACGTGTACTGCGCTGTCATTCCATCAATTCTTGATTGATAGTTGGCTCTATCGGAATTATACAGAAATCCGTTGGCCATGAATCTTTCCCATGATTCCTTTTTATGTTGCAATCGTTCAGAATTGCTTCCCAATAAATCATATTCCTGACTCTTCTCAGTAAATTTGTCCAAAAAATCATCACCGAGCAAAGCTTGCAATGCCTTCACCCTTTCTTCAAATTGTTTACAAAAACTTGCAATGTTTTCCTTCTCCTTTTGATGGCAATTAATCAGATTGCTCATGGTCTTCCACAGACCAAAATATTCCCAATCTGTATCAACAGTAGTTGTCATAAATTTCTTGATCTGCATCAATAACTCCACAGGATCATTGAATAGTTTGTTTTCAAAGTCAGCTTCTCTCTCAAGCTTGTCCACCATGTGATTGGTGCACATCTTCATTATCATTGCCAAAGTCCTTATTAAGGCAAGCTTCAAAGCTTGCCACAAACCCCACCGCAAAGGCAATGAAACGATTGATGTGGTTGGGTTTTTTCTTTTTGTTACGTCCTGGCCAATTTCTGTCAATTGCGGGAACACAGTTCCCTCAAGTTGAAGCAGGTGTTTTTTTCGTATCAACGACACAGAATTTTGTGGCGACGTCATTCCCCTTTGCCTCCTGGACATGTCACTTGTGACATTCGCCGGTCTGATATTTGACAAACAAAAGAATGTGGTGCTAGACAAAAAGATCGGTTTGGGCACGTCATTTAATGGTGACAACCCAACAGCTACACTGATTGCCATTGTCCAGCACCTCTGACAGAGTCAACACACAACTGGCGACACTCCACTGGTCACCTACTACTCCGAGTTTGGAGTCACTTGCAATGTCATAGATCAAATGATCACAAAATATTTGAGAGCAGTTGCTCTCTCAGTGGAGGTCAATCAACCTTCCACAATTGGTGTTCTTTGATGCACAGGGGCTACCGCGCTTCTCAAAGGCAATATCCCGACTAAAAACATCATTGAAACTCTTTTAGGCCCAATCGGAGTCTGCAAAATCCAAGGGATGAGTGTTGGGATATGACAAAATATGAGTTTTTACGTTCCAAAAAGAAACTATTCAAGTACAAAGTTTTTGACACGTACGATCGGATTTTGATCATGATGTCGGGATTCGACGCAAGTATGCCGGACGCAAGTCTGTCGGACAATCTACATCCACACAAAAAGGGAATGACCCTATACAAGTGAGATATCAATGTTGTGTACAATGCAGTAGGGAATAATACAAGATGTCCCAAAGTACT